GGTGGACCTCGCTTTACAACTTACAAAGTACATGCTACATTGTAAAGCGAGGTCCACCCTGCCTACCGGCGGGATGGGTGCGGGAGCTGGGCCGTAAGCACCCCTTGCACACCCTGTGTGTGTGTGTGCGCGCGCGTGCGCGCGTGCTTCCTGTCCATGCATGTACTTTGGTATATTTCAAACTTTTTGTTAATAACTTTTTAATAAGCAACGAGCGACGATTAAATTAGAAGAAAAAGTTACTCAGAATTATGTCCTTGACAACATATATCAAGGTCAAGGTCATTGAAGCTGGGTCCCCTGTTCGCTATATATACCGTTTATGTGCTTGATTCTAGAACTAGAATATTGTTCGAAAACATCAATGCAGTAATTATTGATGTAGAGAAATAAATGTGAGATGTACACTATCCCGAAACTATTCAATTTTTGGCCATACTATCCTTATAACTTTTTATGCCAAATATTGCAAAAAAACAGTTTATGTAAATAAGTTAGGACAATCCCATTTTAAAAAATAAATTAGATGATTTTGAAATAACTTAATGACCTTCATCCAAAATCAAACCAATGGCAATATCTTATGTCCTCTTTTAAACTTATGTTTAAAAAGTCTTTTTTTAAAACCATTTGATTTCCAGATATTCGGCTATATTAATTAAAATAAAACATCCTATATATATATATAAACATATACTTATAAATAAAATATATTGTCTATATTTAAAGTCCAGTATTTTAAAAGAAGCTAAACCCTTTCGTAAATAAACTGAAATTGAAATAAGGCTGTTACATAATTGTATGCAAGAAACTAAATTTGCAATATTTTATATTATTTTATTCCAAAAAAAGTAGAAAATTAAAATACATAAAGAATTATATATATTGTATATCGCATACGTGCGCGGAGTAGTTAATCTTTTAACAAGCATTGGTATCACTCCTGATATTATAATGGGTCACTCCATTGGCGAAGTGTTTTGTGGATGTACTAATGGACATCCATGGCGCTTAACGGCCGAAGAAACGATCATGTTGGCATATTATGTCGGCTTAGCATTTCTTAAGTCAAAAATAATAGATGGCTTAATGGCTGAAATTAATCTCGATTCTAAAACTATGAAAAATATCTGTCCATCGAATATTGATGTAGCTTGTTACAATAATTCACTTAATTCTATTGTGAGTGGACCAACGAACTCTGTAAGAGCATTCCTCGCTAAGTTACAGGTTTGTAAAAATGCTTAAATAGTATTAAATAATATATCTGTATGCTTATAATTATATGTGTAATTTTAAATAAATGATAAAGTTTATTCTTATTCAGAATAACAATATTTCTGTAAAAGAAATTTCCTTTGGACGTATACCTTTTCATAGTCGTTACATCGAGCCCGCAAGAGTTAAACTTTTGGAATACTTGAATCAAATATTGCCACAACAAGCGTCTCCAAGCTCAAAGTGGTTGAGCGTGTTGAATGAGTCTTATGAATGGTTCGGCGCATCTCCAAAGTCAAGTCTAGCCGAATATTATGCAAACTATTTGCTCGCCCCCGTATTATTTTCAGAAACTCTGCGTTTTATTCCAAACGAGGCAGTGACGATTGAGATAGCGCCACACGACATTCTACAATACATTCTTAATGATTCCTTAAAGACAACAGCGACAAATATCGCCTTATACAAATTCTCTCACAAACCAAATATTGAAATATTTTTACACGGAATTGGAAAACTTTACAATGCAGGATTACAGCCACAAATCGCAAATTTATATCCAGAAGTTAAGTTTCCTGTAAGTCGTGGTACACCGATGATTTCACACCTTATAAGGTAAATTCCACTTAATGTAACACAAGATTCTTCAATCATATTCGCTATAGAAAAAAAGTGAAATTTTAAAAAGCAGAAAATTAAATTGTATTAAAATCAAATATCGAAATAAAATGGCAAAAAGAGCCAAGCGCAGTAATGAGGACGCAAAAATATTTATTTAAAAGAATTACAA